CTCTAGATCTCTCTAATCCCATGATCATTTTCTTTTGGCTGTCCCGTGGTCCAGACTGGTCCACAGAGGTGACAGAGCCTTTTCAGATGTGGCTCCTAAACTGTGGAACCAGCTGCCCCTTCATTTCAGACAGGCGTCAACTCTTGGGAGTTTTTAAATCTCATCTTAAAACACACCTATTTTCAAATGCTTTTAATGTCGTATGAGAGTTGTTTTTCCCTATTTATATTGTCTGTTTTTATGGTTTTTCATTATTTGTGTATTGTCTGTAATGCTTTGCTTTAATAGCTGCAATATGTGAAGCACTTTGGCCTACGGCAGTTGTCTTTAGATGTGCTCATGTATGTATGTATGTATGTATGTATGTATGTATGTATGTATGTATGTATATATATATATATATATACATACAGTATATTACTGGTCATCGAAAATGGATAACAGTCCTAAGTCATTACAGAGTTGCTCAAATTAGTTCTCATTAAGATGAATGTACTACATAGCCATAGTGTTTTCTCTCACATGCGTAGAATATCTTTGCATTCAGAAAGGCATTATGGCTTAAATTAGATTGCTTTTTCCCATTCCTCACAGCTTGTTATTGTGCTAAAATCTGTTGTACAAGTCCAACATGCACAACATCATCATTCATGCCATTCATGTCAAGCTGCCCACACTGCTGGATCGGTTCAAGTCCAGAACCAGGAAGTGTGCAGAGAAAAATCTCTGATCCCTCACACCCTGGACACCATCTGTTCCGACGCCTTCCCTCAGGCCGGCACTTCTGCGAAATCAGGATCAGGACAACAAGGCTACAGAGAAGCTTTCTCCCAAATGCCATCACTTTACTTAACAACTGACATTCTATTAATACATAGATTACCTTATGTTCTGGCCTCTTCTTTTGCCATTATTGGATAACTGTTGTACCCAGTATTTAATATTAAACATGAACAATGTAAAGCTTAAAAATTCATAGGAATTAACTGTTAATATTTGTTGATTTATGTGCACTGTGAGCTACAGTAACCAAAACCAAATTCCTTTTATGTGTGACCATACATGGCCAATAAAGTTCAATACCAATACTGATTCTAAAAGTGTGACAATCAGATGTTTCTGCCACTTTTTTCAGTTGAACTTCCAGGTTTGGAACAGTGACCATTCACTTCCTACTTAACATTTCTGTCTAAATATGATGCTGCCAGGTAGGGTTGGGTGATATTGGCAAAAAAAATGAATCACAATTAATTGTGATATTTAGCCGGTAACGATTAACATGACGATTAATTCCATAGAGTTCCTGGATGCCTGCATGTCCTTGTCATATGACCAATTTAAATCACTCTTGTGGGAAAGATTTGCTTTCCATAAAAATCTGTTCCAAACTGTGTCAAAAGTACAGACTTCAGGCTGTACATCAATTTTTAAATTGTGTTGATAGGCCAAGTGAAACTGGAGTTATGATAAATAACGTACTGAACTTTTTCTTTAAATGTTCGTCATTTAAAGCAGAAAGGAGCACCGAGCGAACTGACCAGGGAAATCTCCAGTCAGTCTGCCTGGTGGCATTAATCGTCAAGTGCCAAAAAATAATCGATTAAATGTTTTTCTGATGATTAATTGCACACGATACGATTTTGTCCAACCCTACTACCAGGGACTGAAAAACATGAGTATGGGGTCACCATAGGGACACTTATAAGCCACTGGGTGCAGATTTTAAACTGTGAGCCTCAGCAACTCACACAAGAAAAGTGTGAATCTCCTCAAAGACTTTGAGACCATTTAGTTTCCATTATGGATGCAATTGCCAACCAGTGGCCAACAATTACAACCTAGTGAGAAACTATTTTAAAGAAAAAGAGAATGCAATGTCAACACATCAGGTCCCTGTGAGTGGAACATTCTTTACAATAAAGAAGTATTCAGGGATTTGTTGAGTTTGGTACTGGGTGAGATTATAAACACCATGACACTGGTGTCTTTATATGGATTCCAAACACAGAGCTGCCAATTTGTGTCCACACTACTTTTAGAATCAAATTTACACCTCTCCCCCTGCGTGTCAGGCTGTTTAATCATGTTCTGCTCCTCTACATGAACAGACTGGAGGTGGACTTCCAAAGGTTTCCAACAGCAAGTAAACAACCCTGTGGATGGTGTATTTTAGGCCTGACTCATTAGACTCAACTAAAGGTGCCAGACCAGGTGACAGATGAATTGACATGTCTGGATAGTCATGGATATGAGCCACAGCAAACCAGAGTAACAGAGTGTGTTCAGAGTGATATATTTTAAGCTGTGGTAGACAGAGCAGTGAAGCTGAACTCAGAGACTGGTAACAAACAAAACTGGGAAAAATAAATAATTGTATTGAGCTGATCTTAAGTCCATGCTTTTATTCTGTAGTGTTGAATGAAGATTATGTGCCACCTAAACAATTATGTAGATCAATTCCTTCTAATCACTTAACAGCAGTAGTTGGAAACAAACAAACAAAAAAATCACAATTTACTTAGCAACGAAAACATTTGCTCAGATGTGTTCAAATTAAAAATCTTTTAACAGATGGTAAAAGACAATTAACTACAGCAATGGAAGAGAGAACAAGGAACATGGAAAGTTGCTCCAAACTTTCCAGGTTGACATTCTTTTCAAAGAGCAGATTTTCCTGCTTCAATGGGAGCATTCACAAATAAGTGGACCAGTGGACTTAGCTCTGCAGTCTTTGGGCCCAATAAAGAATTTAAAGAGGATGAAAGAAACACCACTGTTTGATGATTTAAGGCACTAAAACTATGTGGACCATAACAGGACGGCAGAAGAATCAGTTTCTCTTGTCATTACACCTTCACTGATCTGTCTACTACAGTTCAGCCGCACTGAACAAACAACTGCAAAGAAACATACTGAATGTGTATGTCAGCAGATAAAACTGATATAAAACTTCATGGCAGTTCACCAGAAACACTGATAACTAAGGTATAAAGCAGTAGTCGTCAAAAAAAAAATTGTGTTAATGTCATTATTAAATGATTCCCTGTATTTCAAGGTGGCTGGTTAATATGTAACAGCCTGTCTATGAGTGAGTGTGTGTGTGTAGCTGAAGGATTTCATGAACCACTGGGCAGATCTTATTGAATCTCTGAAAATAATTGTTAGATTAAAGACTGTATCTGGTCAGTCCAACTGCCAACATCATCTCATTCAGATAAAAATACTTCATCAATATTGAACATTAGCAGTTGGGCAGCAGGATCTTGTATAACAAAAGTAAAAAAAAAGGCTCAAAGTTTATACCTGTATATTAAAAACTGAGTAGCTTTTCTGAACCACTAAATGTTCTTAAGCCACTGGATTTTCTCCATTTGATTTGCAAACATTATGCTTTTTTTCTCTCCTTATATTTTACATTTATTTACATTTTTTGGAGTTTGCTCACTGGATTTAAATACTACAGTAAAAAGGGGAAAACATTTATGTTTGCTGCTGCAGGGCCATGGTTGCCTTGAGTTCATTTGCCTAACTTGTTCCATATTATTCTGCTACTGTATATAACTGCAGCACATAACATCAAGAAGCTAACTTTGAAAATAAATATTCTGAAAAACAACGATCTTTTGTTCTATAAGAGTGGGCATTTTTATTTATTACAACCATTTTAACTTTACTGCCAAACATACTTAAAGTGCCTGTGACATCAATTTTTTGTAATAATTACAAATTCATTTGTGAAAAGGTAAGATTGATAATATATTGCCAAAAAAAATTGACGTAGCTGAGATGAACAGTTGTTTAGGTATTCACATGTGAACTAACAGGAAGTGATGTCAAAGGGGAATGTCTGCATGTGAACAGAACGTGACTGTAAGGAAGAATCTGATATTTCTTTAGATTATTTTGAGTCATTATCAAAGACATGATGACAAGTCAGAGTTCAAATAATTTTGTTTCAATAAACAAAAACCAGAGAGTTCCTGAGTTCCCCTTTGATGTCACTTCCTGTTTCATTTTGGCTGAGCCAAGTAAAAAGAAATATGCCAGTTTTGTGACAAAATGGGTACAATTGTATGTATTTTGCCAAGTTTCTTAAATAAAGATGTTTTCCTTGACATTTTGTATTTGAGGGACATGCATGTCACAGGCACTTTAAAGCTTTTTAAAATCTTATGTCCAAACTCAACTCCATGTGGTACTATGTTTTTTTTACTCAATATAAAAACTTCATCAAATGCAATAAATTACCAGTCTAGTCTGAATTTCCCTACAATAAACAACACCGCACTAAAAATCAAAAATACATCTTGTAGAAAATAAGCAAAAAATAAATAAAAATAAAAACTTTGATGCATTCAAACAAATCCAGAAGGACAAAAACACTAGATTATAAATAAAGCTGATGCTCAATGCTCCGGCAGAATATCGCCACAATGAAATGTTAAAACTGTTCACACAAAAGCATCTAGAAACATTAAGCTGTGATTATGTGTGTATGTTGTAAAGATTTATTGGTCCAAGGTCTGAAATATTTCCTTTGGTCCGACTGTAGCAAAGACAGTAAAAAGATCTGCTGTGACAGACTGAGTCCTGGCAGACAGACAGCTCAGCCTGTCCTTCAGCAACAGGAGATTCTCGTAATTATGTTCTGAAATCTTCAAATGCCTGCTGTCTGTTTGGAATTAGTTTCCATGGCAACAGGCCAGACCGTCTGGCTTCAGCGTAGCCACACTGATGAAATGGTGTGCTTCGATAATAGCCGCTGACAGAGAGATGGAAATGTGCAACACATTTGCTAGGTGGGCATAAGTTAAGCATTCTTCTTACCTAGAGTTTTTTATGTACTGTGTGATTAATGAGCGTCGGCACCAGTGACACTCAGACTATAAGAGATTTTGAGGGACATCCTTGTGCATCATTTTAGTCCCGAAGAGGTGTTGGTGTGTAAGCATGAGAACGTCCAGTCAAGTGAGAGAAACTGTGATTGAAATGGTTCTCACCTTTGAACGTTTTGGGACAGATTGTTGTCACTAGATGACGTCTGAAGCCTCTCCTCCACACCGCTCGCTTGAGGACCGAGCTCTCTCCCAGACGTTTGTCCACCTCCTGTCTGACTCTCCTCTGCGTCGTCCATCACCTTGGCATTCGTCCTCTCCTTCCCTTGGCCTTCGCTTTCATTGTCGCTCTCCTCGTCTAAGATGTCGTCCACCTATATTTGGTTTGGTTTTGAAGGGGAGCTTTTGTGAGCTTGTTTTAAAATAAATCTTAGAATTGTTCAACACCAATAAATACAGTGAATTTCACTATGAGGCATTCATTAAATCCCACTGAGGGTAACATTTCTCACCTTTTTACTTTTATTTTGTAAAAGACATGCAATTCTTTTGCATGGATTGCAAAAGAATTGCTGTTTAGAGTATCATTAAGAACAGACAAATGTTACATTGCATGCATTACATGGGGG